ATCTCTCCACAGAGAAGTCTCATTTGACCCAAAGACACTGTGTTCTAATTGATGGAAAATTGTCCACTGCTTGTCAAGTTATTGTTCATTTCCTGGTCCTTAATGACTGATTTTCCACCAATTAGCCTAGAGTCCCATGCCCGCCACCCTATGGACAAGGCCCAAGTCTCTGAGTCCCTAAAAGTGACTGCAGGGGGCCCTGCAAATATCTCCCAGGGCCCAGGCACGAGGCCAGCCTAGCACCAAGCAGGGCAACTGGGTTCCGCCCCCAGTCCTAAGTGCCCTCCACCTCATAGCCCCTTGGGATGGTTCCCCACACAGTGCATGGTCCTCTACTCAGGGCAATATGGTAAACTGATAAAGCTTCCCCCCCCCCCCTCCCCAGGGCTAGGAGCCTCCCTTAAGGGGTGTGTGTGTGTGTGTGTGTGTGTGTGTGTGTGTGTGTGTGTGTGTGTCTAGAGAGTGTCTTGAGGGTTCCTGGCACAGTTCATTAAGATATCAACCCTTAATGAAATATTTCTTTGTTTAAATCATCATTTATCTTGCGGAACAGAGGCCTTTGTGGCAAAGGAAAAGGCTGCCCCCTCCCATCCCTCCCCCACCTCCACCGAGCACAGACCCAGGGTCTTTCTGAGTCAGAAAGACTGGGAAGCAGGGTGGGAGGAGCAGCTGGGAAATGAGGAGGGGAGAAGATTCCAGAGTGGAGGAACCACAGGCGGAAAGGGGAACAACTTGATTGAGCAGGAGGCAAAGGAGGAGAGAGAAACAGAAGGCCCCCGGGGGGTGGGATGGGGGAGGGGAGGTGGACACAGAAGGAAGTCCACTGCAGTGTGACCACAATGGCCAAAGGTTGGAAACAACTCAACTGTCCATCACTGGGAGGCTGGGCAAGGAAACCAGGGCACCTGCTAGAGTGGAATGCTCTCCACCAGCCTTTTCAATGATTGACCTAGAGATACATGTAGCAAACCTAAATTAATCTCCCCAGCATGGAGTTCAGTAATAAACACCAAGAACAAAAAGTAAAAGCAAGGAGCAGAAAGATACCTTCTATTTAAAATTTCATGATACCCAAGCGACACTAAATGATGAATAGTATAAAACTTAATTTGGGAGGGCTCCCTCCAACTGCAAGGAAGTGGCTACCTCTAGCAAGGGAAGGATAGAGAGAGACTAAAAGGGATATGGAGAGGTCCTCAATTCTATCAGCAACAACGCTGAAGCTTTTTAGTTGAAGCATGAAGAAAGGCACGCAAATCAGGACACATCAGCTCAAGTAATTTTCACACAGTGAGCAGAACCGTGCCACCAACTCCCAAATTCAAAAAACCCCAAACAGGGGCATCTGGGTGGCTCGGTCAGTGGAGTCTTGATTTCGGCTCAGGTCATGATCTCACGGTGTGTGGGTTTGAGCCCCGCGATGGGCTCTGTGCTGACAGCTCAGAGCCTGGAGCCAGCTTCGGATTCTGTGTCTCCCTCTCTCTGTCCCTCCCCACTCGCGCTCTCTCTCTGTCTCTCTAAATAAATAAATAAACATTAAAAAAAAACAAACTCAGAACATGCCCATGCCCAGATTCCCCCCCCCCACCCCGGAACCCCTTTGTACGCTCTCCCAGTCATGTCCCCTCTCTCCTGAGTTCTAATGTTATCAATCCGACCAGTTTTTGAATTTCAGATAAATGGATTCACACTGGCTGCTTTCTCTTACGGCTTGTCTTGTTCTTATGCACAACATTCTGTGCGTGAGATTCCTCCACGGTGCTGTGCGTGGCGACGGCTTATTCATTCTCCTTGCCAAGTACTCGCCCGTGTATGAGAATACCCTGATACGTCTACTTATTGCAGTGCTGCTGGGCACATCCTTGTGTACGTCTTCTGGTGAACATGTCTGCATTTTAGGACTGGAGTTGCCGTGTTAGGCTGGAAAGTTTAATTCCGCAATAAGGCTGAGGGAAAAAAAGTTAAGACCCAGTCGGTCAGATGAACGGAAACATAAAGTATCTGGGCCTAGATGTGTTGGGACCGTGGGATTAACGAGAATACTATTTTTGGACACACACCTACCACCACGCAGGAGCGTCAGGCTGGTATGAGGAATGAGCTCACCCACTAGTCCACTTCATCCCCACAACAGGGAGGCAGTGGACCCCGGGGGAGGAGCTTCTGCTTGGGAGCAGGAAGATCTGGGAGCCCACCCCTGCTGCAATACCTCCCAGCTGTGTGGCATGGGGCAAGTTGCTTGACCTCTCTGAACCTCAAGTCCCTCACTTATAAAATGAGAAGAGCCACCATGTCTGGGGTGATAGAGCTCAAAAGCATGTGAGTCAAGTGGCTGGCATGCAGCCAGCAGCTAGTAAGGGTCAACGGCTGTTGTATGCATGATGTGCATTTTTGTGAGGTCAGAATTCTGCATTTGTAGGTGAGGAAAATGGGATTTACAAAAGGGAAAGGGAGCATTTGTGGAAAGCTGGATGATTTGCCCATGCCCTCTCCTGCCAACCATCTAAGGAGCCATTCTCTCAGTGTTGTGGATGAGGAAACTAAGGCCCAGACATCACGTAACTTGCCCGGGTTACACTGCTGGCAAAGACAGAGGCTGAAGTTCAACCCAAGGCCGCCTCACACCAGCCCAATCTGAAGCCAGCTCCAGGCTCTGAGCTGTGAGCACAGAGCCCGACGCAGGGCTTGAACCCATGAACCGAACCGTGAGATCATGACCTGAGCCGAGGTCAGCTGCTTAACCGACTGAGCCACCCAGGCGCCCCCAAGGGCTACTCTTTTGAACCTTTTCTCAGAGCTCTTGTACCAGAAGGAAAAGCTTTGAACTGGCTGCTTTGATTTCACGGTGTTAATTCTGTACCTTTTTCTGGTGAGGCCTCGCCTTCCTCACCAAAATGCCCTTTAGGGGAGGATAAGACAGGATCTTTGCCTCTCTCGTGTCCCTAATGTGACTCACAGGGTGCTGGAAACTGAGTTGGCCTGGAGATGACCGGTAACCTGAAATGAAAGCCAAAACAACCCAGGGAACTCTACTGGGGCAAGGGAGCCCGTGTGGGAGGGACGGAGGGCTGCTGCAAGAAAGCCATGTGAAAAGGACTTGTTGGGGCTGAGAGCCAGAAAAGAGGTGGAGAAGCCCACCCCACCTCCCCTCTGCAAAAATCCCTTCTTTTCCACTGAAAGTCCTGAGATGTCACCCCACCCCAAGCCTCTGCAAAAATGATGGGAAGGAGGCCTGAGGGGCACGGCCACTGCCCAGCTGGGCTTACACGAGGGCCTGCCAGCCCCAGGCCTGGCCCAGACCTGTCCACCCACCCTGACTCCCACCAGAGCTGCCTCCCCATGGAAGATAAATTGGATCACGTTATCAAGAGCTTCCTTCCTCTGCAACCGCACTCCTCCTGAGGTAAGACTCCAGCAGTACTGCTCTAGAAGCCTCCGTGAGGTTCTTCCCTGTCCTCATGGAAGCGGCTCCGGTTGGAATCCTGCTTCACCACTTACCAGCTCTATAAGCCTGGGCAGATGACTTCATCTTTCCGTGCCTCAGCTTTCTCCTCTGTAAAATGGGCATGACGGCACTATCCACCTCATCAGGTTATTGAGAAGATGACACGTGTCTTCTGCCTGGCCTGTGGCAGGACTCGAACATTTGCTGTGGTTATTGCTACTGCCATGGCTGCGCTGGGAAGGACACCGTGGCGCCCATATGAATGACCCTTAGAACACTCCTTCCAACAATCTCACACCTAGATACCCGGATGGTTCCAGCTGGACCTAAATATGCCCATCACGCCCACACAGCAAGGCAAATACATAGGATTCTGGACCTGGACAGGCACCACTAACTTACAACTACTTCTGACTATTTGTACCCAACAGAAGAGGGATGGAATAATTGATGAACAACCCAAAAGGGAGCCTCCTCTCCTGACATCCTTTTCTTCCAAGCCCCATTGGAAAGACTTTCTCCTCCGAGAAATCCTTCTCTCCCCAGGCCACAGGACTGACTCACCCTGAGGACCCCCAGCTCACATTCCACAGGGGCCTCAATGTGCCTGCCCTATCTCCACCTGCCTCCTGTGATTTGTACCAGGAGAGTCTTCAAGAACCACCGTCTTCCTGCCCTCCTCCCGCAGCAAGGCCCGCCCTCCCTCCCTTGCTCAGGGGCACTCCTTGAAGATCTCTGGGGGCGTCCTTCACCTCTCCCCACGCGCAACACGGAGACAGACAGGAGATGTTTGGGGGGTGGAAGATTTATTCAGATTTCCACGGGTCTCTGAGCAGAGCGGCTGCTACCAGCAAACCCTTCTGCGTTGGAATCTGGGCCTTTCCCCATCTGGGCTCCCCCCACCCCATCCCTGCCCCCACCGAAACCCAACAGACGCCACTGCCTCCACCACTCTCTCTCCAGCCCCCCACCCCACCCTTCCAGCCCCCCAGGCAAAGGCTCTGCGCTGAGCTTTGTTTGTAATCTAATTTGCCCGGATAACTGCCTCGACTTTGCACCTCGCTTCTCCCGCGTGTATCCGGCTTTGGGCCCCTTCTTCACCGGTTCGCAGAGCACTTTCTGGGAAATTCCCCTTCCGGAAAGGGAGTCAGCGCTGGCCGGGGGTGAGCGTTACAAAGCCCAGAAGGAGCCTCCTCGCCTCCCCCACCCCCGGGTCAGAAAGCTCACCTCCAGCCCCCACGCAGTGGCGAGCAGGGGGGAGGCCAGGAAGAACCCGGGCCGATACCGGCCCCGGGCTCCGAGCCCCGGGCCACTCCCCGCGCCCAGCGCAGCCCGCTGGGAACCAATGAACCGTGTGGGAGCAGGGCTCGGCCGTACCTCCAGACTCCAGGGAAAAGCTGGGGTTTGCCAAGCGCGCCACAGGATTCGAGAGGGCAGAGAGGATCCCTAGGGTCTCTCCACCTCCCGGCTTTCTCAGGTCCGCAGTCCCGTGTCTTCTCCCCAAGTCCCCACTTTCCTTCCCCTAAAGTTCGCTCCACGTGGTGTTCTCTCGCCCCGCCGGGCGGCCTGGCCGGGTGAAAGCGGCTGCACCTGCTTTAGGCGAATTATGGTAGCGCTAGAAGTTGGTCTCCCCTCCCTCCGCCGCTCGCTCGCTCCCTCCTCCTCGGCTCTCCGCGCGCTCCCTCCTTCCCCCTCCACCCCGCGTCTCCCGCCCCCTCCCGCCCCGCCCGCGCGCCGCCCGCTCGCAGCCACTCGCAGCCCGGGCTCAGTCGCAGCCCCTCGGAGTCCAGAGCCGGCCGCCCCTGCGGACCGGACAGCGCGGCCGGAGCCCGGGACGGAGCCCCCAGCCCGCGAGGAGGGCGCGGCGCAGGCGGCGGCGGCGCGGCGGG